GCACTTTGACACAAATGTATGTCTCTTTAGAAGTACTTTTCCTTTGCTCATTTTGGTATAAGCTGAAAATATGTGTTGCACAACTTTTTCAGGAGCCTAAAGATGTTTTTTTTTATGTCGTCTCGGTGGTTTACGATATAACTTGAATGCTACCTTAATATGGACGAGATTGTCATAAGACAAAAACTTTGTTGACATTATTGTCCTTGGCAAACACAACACTGATATGGGCAAATAAGTGAAGTCACAAAACATTCACCATCCTCTGCCACGGTTTCAAAGTCAAGGTCACTTTCCCTCCGTCATAAATCCAGTCCAGTTCTAGCTTCTTCTGAATTCTGTTGTCAGCCAACAAGTGTGGAATTGTCCGCACCTCCTCCATGTACTACATCTGTTTAAGTTGTAATTTTATTATGTATTACCAAAAATCGTTACAAACCACTGGAAGAATTTCAGTCAAATTTAAGAAATTAATCATTACATTTATTAATCATTACATCTATAACAACGATAGCAAGATGGCTGCCACAGCCTATCGACTTTAAAAAACACAGCAATGAATTTAACTTGGCTTATAACTGACTACTCATGGAGTTGGGAGTTAATCTCATCAGAATAATAGGATTAATCAGAAACAGTGGAAATGTGTGTCAGTAATTCGTCCATTTCTTATGATTGAGTTTAGAGAGTGGTGATGGAACGTGTGGAAACCCTGAACTGGAGACTCTGGTTTTAGCTTCCTAATGTGGGCAAAGGGATGCAGTTTTTTTTTCCTGCCTGAACTTGGATGACCTTTTGTAAAGAACTGTTTCTGACGTGGTTTGATCCTGCAATATGCATTTCCCTCTGATAGAACTGGGATCCCTGAGCCAAAGCTTTTATCCTCAAACTTCCTCTCAGATTTGGCTCAGCCTTTTTACATTTCACATAACCAGACATGGATAATTGAAACAATGCTTCTTTTCCTGTGGAAAGTGATTTAGATGAAAGTGATTGTCTAAGAAATAGCTGCATGCCTTTGGTATGTGATAAAGTAAACAAAAAAGTGTAAAGAAAATACATCAGCCATTCAGCCTGTTTAAAGGAAACGAACAGCCACTGAGTAGTTTGGTTTGGTTATGAGTGCCACACTGAACATGGAGCAGTGACCAGAGCTGTCCAAGGAGCTCGAGAGAAGATTATTAAAGGTAAAGGCTACATGACCATCACCAAGCTGGTTCATGTTCCCCTGACCACAGCTGACAATAATATTAAAATATACAAGGTTCATGGAGCTGTAGCCATCCTCTCAGGACTTGGACGCAAGATGAAATGCAACTCTAGGTTGATTAGATGGATATATGGGATAGTAGAAAAAGAGCAGTAGAAACCATTTTAGTTGGATTTCAAGGTCAAGAGCGTGACTTTCTGATCACACCACCCGTCACATTTTGACTTATAATGATGAAAGACGACCCAGGAGACTATTATTGGTAGAAAAACGCACACAAAAAACCCAGACAGGAATTCACCAAAATACATGTTGACAAAAATTTGAATTTCTGGAAGAAATTCCTAGGACTAATGAGACGGATCTTGCAGCCATCTATGGTGCACACGTACACTATATATGGCTGCCTTTAGCTAGCCGTTTGCTACTTTTACCCTACCTGGTTCAACTCAGCCTCTTGAGCCTCAAACAGAATTAATCCACCGCTGCATTAGCTGCTGCCATCGTTTACATTTAAATCTAAATTTGATCATAATACAGTAGTCCCTCGTTTATTGCGGGGGATCCGTACCGTAAAGCCCCGCGATAAAGTGAAAAACTGCAAAGTAGGAATAGTAGAATAAGTAGTACGTAGTAGTTTATTTTAGTATGTATATATACTGTATGTATATGTATATGTGTGTATATATATGTATATATATATATATATATATATATTTTTTTTTTTAACCCTTCCTACATTCTTGCAATATTCTAAACAATGTTTCCAAACACTCTAAAAGTGCACAGAATGTCATGATTTCAGCTCCCTGCCTCATCTGTTCTTTGCCACCTGCTGTTCTTGGCCACGCCCACTTCTCCGCTCTGCACTGAGAACAGCTGATCAGCTGCAGCATGCAGCTCATCCTGCAGTATGGGCTGCACAAAGGTGCAGGAGGTGCTAAATAATTTTAAATAATTTATTTTAAATAAAAAGTCCATGCCGATGTGTGTCATGTCCAACCTTATTTTAAAAAAAGTGCGGTAGAGAGAGTCTGCGATAAATGAACCGTGAAGTAGTGAGGACTGCTGTATCTCAAATGGTGTTTTTTTTTTTAAGTAAGTGATTTGTGAGTTGTTGTTTTTTTCTTAAGTTTTAAAAAAAAAAATATTTAGGTACATTGCGCATCCTGGTGACGTATTTTGTGTAGTAGGTTTTTTTTGTAAAAAAAATGACCAAGTTCTTATTCTTTTAACAAGAGACTTTATGTAAGTTGTGGTTTCTTTTCAAATGATGCAGCACATTTCCAAAAACCTGCACTCTGAGCTCTCCAATCCAAAACGTTTGTTGTCAGAGAAAATGGCCGCTGTTGTTGCGTACAAAAACGGCTGAAACGCAACAGAACTACCACAGGTTCATATAAAAATGGCGTATCATATCAGGACCCCAGTGTTGTTGGGTTTTTTTTGTTTGTTTTTTAATCATTGTGGATGTGTACCAACAAATATATTGACTGTGGGTGCTTTTTAAAGGCTGTGTGTGTTTGCATGTCAGGAGTGGATCCTTGTGCTGTCAGCAGGCTACTAATGCGATGTGGTGGGAATGTGTGATATTCCCCAGTGAGAAGAGGAGAGTACTCTCAGCACTCAAGTGGCTTCTTCTCTCTGTTGCATAACGCATCTGGAAAGAGCCGAGCGTGCTCGTGAGTGCGTATGTGTGACGAGAACTGAGGGCTGTTGTTTTGACCATCAAGGGTTAAATGTGGGACCGTTCTTAGAACAGTACCGGTTCATGTGAGTGTCTGTGGTTAGATGGAGGAGATATTTTCTATGATCTGAATTTAAACTTGTTCATTTGTACTCTTAGCTACTACCACACTATATTGCTATATTTGTAAAACTGCCTGAATCAGTGCAATTTTTTTTATATTTCCTGAAGTCAGTTGGCTGGAAGCCATTATTAACTGGGTTTACTCCAAAAGTCAATTATTTGTAGATGTGCATCTGATTTAAAAAATAAATAAATAAATTCCTGGGGAAAAAAGTTTCAAATGGTGAAAACAATTAAAGCGTAAATTTATTATAGGCCTATTGTCAGTATCAGATTTTCAAGTAGTTTCTATTCTGCTTTGGGTTAAAAAGGAACAATGACAAATATATTTTCATTAGTCACCTTCTGACATAATTATCACAGTTAGTCCCGTGAGAAAAAGTGTAAAAAAATATATTTTTTCTTATCAGTTTTTAACTAAATACATACTTTCATTACACTTTAACTAGCATAGATCCGTTTATTGTGGTTAAATTTGACCAAATCTGCCGGTCTTGGTTGAAGCCAGTATTTTATTTAAACGGGACAACATGGAGATAATAATATCATCTCTGTTCAAAACATCTTGAGAAAAAGTTGAACCTCTTTCTTTTCTTTTTTTTTTTTTAAGGTTTATCAAGATTTGACTTCCAGATGACTGTTAACGTTTGGAGTGCCATTTTCAGAGCAGACATTTAAAACAAAATATTTGAACGTTTCATTGTTGCAGATGTGTGATCTGTGATATTTCTGGTGTCACGTCGGGGTTAACTGTACAAGTGAACAAGCTGTTCTTGTTTCCAGTGTTCAGCAGAAACTCAAGAAGAGACAGAAACGACATGAGGATGATCGTTCTCAGAATAAAACACCAGCACAATTAACCCTCTGTTTGCATTCAGCCCTCGGCTTTTGTGTGTGTGTGTGTGTGTGTGTGTGTGTGCATGTGTGCGTGCATTCTCGTCTCGTTCATGCTGTCCTCAGTTTGCATGAAACTCGTCTCGTTGTGTGTGTTTATCGGGACAGGACGGGAGAAAGGGGGAAGGAAAGGGAGTTGTCAGAATGTGTGAATGCGTTTTTCCGTCTGAGGTCAACAGAACCATCCCAGCTGTCTGCAGGTTCATTTCCTCCATTTTTTTTTCTTCGCTCAATTAAAGCGAAATCTACCCGTGGACCGAATGAGGCCAGAGGGGCCTGCTTCATGTTTAGGACAAAGGCTCGAGAAGTGCCCCCCCCCCCCCCTCAAAAATTAGACTCCGCCTACATTTGACTCTGTTCTGAACTGCAGGCTTTTCTTACAGTCAACATCTGTAAGTGGATTTAACAAAACTACTTCATGAAATTGAAAGCCTAGGGTTCCTTGAATGAATTCATATCGTCCACCACCTTTCATGTCAAACTTTCAGACCAGTGGTTCTCAACATTTTTTTTGTTAAGCCCCACCTTTGGAGAAAGTTGTCCACTCTCATCCATGGTGCATAAGAAAACCAACTTTATATAAAGGCAATAACACATTATGAGGGTGGTTATATTTGAATACAACAATATATGGACTTTTGTGTGGCAAAAAATACTCAATGTTAAATAACTTGGATGATTGGTAATAAAGCAGGCAAATTAGATAAACTAAATAATCAGAATAAATTTTAAAAAAGTAAATTATTTTACATTTATGTTCATTAAGCGTATTACATTTATCTCAGTACAGTTATGTCACGGTTTGGTTCCAATTATAAACCAGCTTGGCACAAAAAATTGCTAAAACTATATATTTTTTTGTTATAATCCCATGTTATACTTTAGGTAATAAATCTGCACATATTTATGATAAACTACAAACACGTAAAACTGACACGCTTACAGGAAGAACATGGTGAGTTTTGAAGGAAAAATAACGTGCAGTGGAGACACACTTTTGCTATAATCGTGGGTTTTTATAAGCTCAGGGTTTTTATTTTTGTTAAAGACTAAAGATAGATTCTCTTTCTATTTTCTGTGTTCCAGATATCTGGTCTTTGGGTGTGATCCTGTACATGTTGGTCTGTGGAGTCCCTCCCTTCCAGGAGACCAACGACAGCGAGACTCTGGTCATGATTCTGGACTGTCGGTACTCTGTCCCCGAACACGTTTCTGACGACTGCAGAGAGTGAGTACCAAGGAACAATAATGGACAGATCAAGCCAAAAGCAACCATACTCATCTGGATTATTTACATGATGAAATAAAGGGGCTGAGCATATTTACACAATCTGTCACACAAACGCTTGTGCAACACAACACACCTCATACGCATCTGTCTTGTCACTTAGCCTTCACTCCTCACACCTTCAGCTTAAATAAACTGTTCTCCACTCACAGGGCAGCAGGATCAACAGAACAGATGGTTTCTGCAATATTAGGAGAAAAAAAATACGTAAACTGCTGTACGTGTCGGGCAGAAACACCAAATCAAATCTTAATAAAATGTATTTCTTCGGAGAAAAGTTTTTTAAATAAGGGTAAACATTTTGAATGTTTTGAATATTGCCCAACAAAAATGTTGGGCAATATTCTGCATCATTTTTGTGTGACTTTAAATTCAGCATTCACACTATTTATTATTATTATTAACCTTTATTTAAGCAGGCAAATCCCACTGAGATCACAGATCTCGTTTGCAAGGGAGTCCTGGGCCTGAAGGCTGGAGAAACCTCACACAAACTCAAAAACTCCACACAAAAAACCCTAGGTCCAAACCCAGGATTGAAACCAGGACCATTTGCTGTGAGGCAACAGTGTTAACCAGTGATTCGTCATGTTGCCCAATTCTTCTTTTGCTAGTTTTATTTTTCATATGCCGTTTGCAACCTACCAAACTACTTTTGCATACTTGGCGTAATTTTAGCCATTTATCAAAACACTCGGCTCATTCAGGAGAAGTGTGCTTTGCCCTTTGTTTTTTGTAACTTTGACAATTTTCAAAATGTTTACCCTTATTTAAAAAAAAATTCTCAGAAGAAATACATTTTAAACGCTTCAGTTCTCTACAAAAACATGAACTTAAAAATCTCCTTCAGCGAACTTGGTTTATTTTTTCCCTCCTGCTACTTTTAGCTTTTAGCTAGCCTTTTGATTTTTTTTAGTTAGCCTTTTAGCTTTAAGCTAGCCTTTTGCTGCTTTTAGCTAGTTGTTATGCTTTTATCTAGTCTTATTGATTTTTAGTTAGCCTTTTGCTACTTTTAGTTAGCCTTCTGCTTCTTTTAGCTTATTGTTAATATTTTGCTGCTTTTAAACAGACTTTTGTTTCCTTTGCTTTTAGCTAGCAATTAGCTACTTTTAGCTGGTGTTTTAGGCTTACAGCTGGCCTTTTTCTGATTTAAGCTTGCCTATTGTTACTTTTGGCTTTCAGCTAGCTTTTAGCAACTAGCTTTTTTATATAAAATAAAAGTTTTTATTTGTATTATTTTAACTAGTGTTTGCTGCTCTTAGCTAAGTTTGGTTTCTTTTAACTGGAATCGTTTTGCTTTTTAAGATTCATTTAGTGTTGTGCCACTGTTAGCTATCATTTTGCTACTTTGTGCTAGCCTTTAACACTAACTTTTGGTTAGCTTTTTGCTCTTTTTAGCCTTTAGCTTTTATTCTTTTTTTTGTTTGTTTTAACTTTGACAACTCAGATCCAATTTCATCAGCATTTCAGCAAAGTCATTCAGTGCTCGGCATTCACTCCACATTTTCACAGGAAGTGCAGTTTCTGCAGTTTTTAGTTGTATTTTGTTAAATCAGAAAGTTTTATGTTTGTTCTTGTCCTATCTGGAACACAACCTCCTTTTAGGGTGGGATAGTTGTGGGATATAAAAACTCCTATAACAATAATTTGCTTTCAGAACAATGAAACCTCTTGAGAAAAATCTGCATTTGTCTTTGTAAACCTCAAACTTTGCTTCTGAAGTGATTTATTCTTCTTCTTACATCTCGGAGCAAAAACAGCGTTACACATTTTTATTTCTTTGTCGAGTGCGCTGAGGTTAAAACTCAGCAGGGATTAATAAATCTAGCCAAGTGGTATCAGATTATCTGGAAACACGTCCGGGAGCATCTGATCTGGGATTCGTCATGTGTTTTTTATTTTTGGCCCCGATTCACATGATGGATCAGAACATGCTCCTGGACAGACATCCAGGTTTCACACACAAAGGACAGATGTGAAACTCTGCTCATTGTCACTTTTTTTTTTATTATCTGGAAAACTAAAAACATTTTTTATTAAACAATTAAAGCTATTTTTTTTTTTTTTTTTTTCAGTTTGATCTCCAGGATGCTGCAGAAGGATCCAACTCGTCGGGCTTCCCTCGACGAGATTGAAGCTCACCAGTGGCTCCAGGGCCTGGATGATGTTCTCCTTAGCCCCGAGGCCCCACCACACTGGGTCTCGGGGGCACTTGGTGCCACCTTTCCTTCCTCGGGGGCCCCTGAGTGTGGGGATCTGCTCGCTGTGAGGCCTGCAACTCAGCAGGCGGCCCCTCGGGTGTGGCAGCCGAGCTTCACCCTTTGTCCAGCTCCAGTCGAAGAGCCTCCTGCCACCAAAAATCTCCCTGCGCTGCAGCAGATCTGTGAGGAGGAGGAAGAGGAAGAGGAGGAGGAGGAGGGAGGTTTTGATAAAGATATTGCCATTATGGTAAATCCAGGAGGAGAAGATGAGGAGATGTTAGAAGGGTTAGACAATCCAGACTGCAAGGAAGAGGAGGATCAAGCTGAAATGAGGATGCTAAAGGAGAACGAGGACAGTGGTTGTGTGATATCAGATCAACCCATCAGTCACTGGGACGAGACACTCAGTGAGACTCCCTCCTCCTTGTCTGGTTTCGGGATTCCATGTTGGCAAGCAGACCTCTCAAACGGAGAAGATGAACCGAACAACAACACAGAGAAACCCGATCCTGTTCTCCACACGTCAGAGTCCTCTCACTCCCGTGTCTCTGCATCCTCGACCAGCTTAAAGGAGACGACGAAGACGGAAAAAGAAGATGATCCGAACAAGAGAACGTCGACTGAAAAGTCTGGGCCTCACAGCCCACAGGGAACCCGGGATGAGTTGGCGCCAAAGGTGGAGCAAGGGAAACGACACAGCATCAAGCTTCGCGAGAGACTCTTTCAGTTCCCTCTGTGTGAGAAAGCTCTGGCCTTCAACATCCCGACAAACAAAAAGCCCAAAATCCTGCCGCTGGCTCAATACAACTGCTGCCATGTGCTGTAACGAACATCAGCCCGGGACGCTATCCGATGACCTGCACGCTCTCTGGGGAGCTGCTTAGCCGTCGGCCGGTAATCAAAGACTTGCGATGTGGCAAACAGGCTGAGCCGAGCTCCAAGAGGATGAGGTAACCTTCGATGTTCAAACTAGGCATGGGTCGACGGTTGCAAGGTATACCACAGTGTTAAAAAAGCAAGGGGTCAAAACCACACATCTTTCCATCATGGAGTTTCTTATAGTTGAAATACCATTGATAAGGTACCAGACATAGTGGTTTTTGTGTTTTTCCCCTGTCTTCTGGTTACATGGGGTGCTGAGCAGTGCTCCCCTCTTCTCTACAGTTCTGTACTGTAGCTGATGGGGTAAAATACCCTCAATTGTTATGTTTGTTATAAAAAAAAAAAACATTGGTCGGTCGTATGTTTTATCTGGTGGATAACTCAGTCAGTCGTGGCTAGTCTCTTATCCAGTTAAACGTTTGCAAGAAGCTACAAGACAGCATGAAGCCCAAAAACATTAAAAACAAAATCTAACTTTGCTTCCCACCTGGGAGACCTTTTCAATTCTAAAATACTTTTCAAATAGAAGAATAGAAGTTTTGTTTAACATTTTTTTCTTTATTTAACAGGCTTTGGATGACTGAGAATCTTTACCAGCAAGAGTTAGCATGCTAGCCAGTGACATATCTATATATATATATATATATATATATATATATATATATATATATATATATATATATACAGCCTAATACTGCAGGCTAACTACAGGTACTTATTTGTAGCTAATTAATTAATATCAGTTTGCTATGTGCTAAGGAAGCTTAGTTTTTTTTATCAAAATATACATAAACTGAGGACAAATCTGTTACAGGTCAGCAGGACAGTTCTGATACATAGAGTGTCTATAATCTCGTGGGCCATAAATGATGGTAGCAAGGGCCCTTTTTGGCCCATGGGCCTTGAGTTTGACACATGCTTTACAAAGCGCTGAATAGTAGGGAAGAAGTATACTGGCACTATTATGTTATATACAGAAATGTATATAAAACAGACTGTTTTCTGGTGTTTTAGCAAACTTTTTCTTTTTTTTTTTTTACAACAAAAGCATGTAAATCATATGACGCATTGTTAAAATTTAGTTTTAACTTGTCTTGTTTTTGCTCAACGTAGCATCAGAATGTCATACCGACCCATGCCTAGTACAAACACGAGTGTACAGCTTCACATGCACAAAAGCCCGGATCGGACCGGTCCATGTAGTAAAGGTTTCAGCAGCACTTATTCAGACTCACCGAGGAACTCGTCTTTTTGCTGCAGGAGCGACTGGAGAATCCCAACAAACTGTTTCTCATCTGAAGCTCTGGAACTATACTGGACTGACTTGTGAAACGATGAGGGAGGAAAAAAGACTGCAGGATTTTTGTTACTGAATAAGCTAAAGTTATTTTTGGTTATTTGAAGGTGCCTATTAGGATCAGAACATTTATGTTGTTTCTTGAAGTATGAATGCAAACTAGAACTGCTGCTAAAAGGTAATTGTTAAAGGAAAGTAAACATATTTGGGAACAAACATGTTTTAAAGGACAAAACTGTATAATTTTTGTTCCTTTTTTGTGTATTTGGGTGTAAAATCTTTGCTGTTCGTTCCGTGTGGACCCACAGCACCATAATCATTTAGCATTTTGTAATTTTACCGAAGCTTCAGGTGCTCTGGACTCGCTTTACTTTTCATCCCAAACATTAGGAGTTAAAAACACAACATCTGCACAGCAGAAACGGCACTAAAATAATTTTATTATTCACACAAACACAACTACAGTTTCACTTTAATTGTGTTACTTTTAGGACCGAATGATTTGACTTATTTGCTGCTTGTCCTGCAGATCTCCTGACTTCGGTTTTAAGCTTTATTAGACTAAAATGGAGTCCGAAAAATAAGCTTTATTAAACCCAGCTACCTCTACGCTTGATCACATGGAAACTGTTTTTTTTTTTTTTCCTGTATCTGCTCTTCAAACAGAGCAAAACTTCTTCAGACTTCAAAAAACATCCCTTTCTGGTATATTTATAACAATCTGTTGTAAACTCCTTCACTTTGTGGATTTTGCACAGTTTTATTGTGTTTGATCAAAAAAAGCTTTGTGAACGTACTCCTACATTACACCCAAATACACAGAAAAAGATAAAAAAATATATCAGATGATTAATTTGTTAGATTTGCTCTGAAATGAAAGTAGTTGCTGTGTTAATATTATTCAGAGATGTTTTTTTTATTATCTATAAATCTATTTATTGACTCACTCGTTTATCGACTGCTTGACGTATATTTCCATCTCTTTGCACTTCCTGCTTCTCACACTGGTTTTAAAGCTCTTAATATAAGTTCACATGAAGACAGACTGTTAAATGATGTATACTCTGATATGAAACTGTATGTTACACGCCTGGCGCTGAGAACACGCGATCTGCTGCTCTCTGTCTTATTATTCTAACATACATGTGTGAAAACTGGGATGCAGGTCTCCCCCATTTTTAAGTATTTAATATCTAATATTTTTATTTTGTTTGTATTATTTTTTCTTATAACATGACAAAGATATTAACTCTCTGAACGAATGTTTGTGAGTTTGCATGTTATTTATCACGTCGTACCTCCGTGTGTCTTGTATCTGACAGGACAGCTGTTGTTTAACTGTAAAAAGTTTCCCACTGAATATATAACCCCGCACAGTGGAACCACTGTAACTTGTAGCTTTCTACCATCAGTATCTGGAAATCCAGACTAGCACACAATAAGTTTGTATTGTGTCCCTCCATGTTGTGTTTGACCATAGAGCTGCCGTTCTATATTTCCATGGGTTTTGTAGAGTAACTGAACAATCAACGGCCTCGTGGGGACGGAGCTTACTGCGACTGTTAGTTCCCGTCTAAATAAGGAGCGCCCGTCACGTGAAATCCAATCATGACTTATGTCTCATCAGCCGTAAAAGCTTAAAATCTCTGCAAAAACTAAAGAGAGTTGAAATGATTTCCTGTCTCGCTGCAACGTCTGCTGACCTGCATTTTAACCAAGACCACGTGTACAACGTGAAGCCATGAACTTATTTTTCTGTATTTATTTATTAAAACGAATTAAATAAACATATTGACTGTGTGCAGTTTGTTTATTTCAAAGGAGTTTCCAGAAGAAGGAAATGCGACTTCTTATTCACAAATTTATTAGGTTTAAAAATCCCACTGATTGCAGTTGTGGACATATAAGTATATTTTCTTATTAAATTATATTTTTACAATTAAATACTTTTTTTTTTTTTTAATATTTTTTATATTTTATTGTTATAGAAGCAGTTAACGTCTTGATCCTAATTTTCTATTGTGCTATTTAAACATGATCAGTGTCTGGACTGCAGATGTTGGCTCCAGCTGTTGTCCTCCATCTGGCTGCAAGTTTAACGGGTGACAACATGCCAGTGTGGCGCCATCTGGTGGCTGAATACAATAAATTCATAAACACAGTAAACTTCCATGTGAAGTTTAAACATATTTTTTACGATGGTTGTATTTGTTGCTGTAGCTGCACAAAAGAAACACTTCACCACCTAACAGGTGACTCATTTTAGAAGACCGTATTAAAACACTTATTTTTGGCAGTAAATGTTATTAAGCAAAATGTTGGATGATGTAATTGCAGTGGAAAATTTATAAAATTGTAAAATATTAAAATAAATGTTTTATAGGTTTTTTTTTTGTTTTTTTTTTACAAAAACAAAAATTTCCCAACAATTAGAAACACCTGCCCTAACTTTACGCTGTTTACGTATGTTACGTCCGATTTTAGTCGGAGGACTCGAAGTTGGCGGTTAGCTTGATTTGTTACGCAAGGATAGATTGCAGTTAGCCGTTAGCATGATTCCTACTTTCAGCTGCGCTACAACGTTCCTGAATTAATATAAAAATGTATGGTTTGTAAAATATGCCCCCCAAATATTAAGTGCTTGTTTTTTGCTGATAATTTTAGAATTAATTGGTTAGCTTTAGTTTAAATGCTTAAAAGCGTCTTGATAAGTTTGCGCAGCAAGATAATTTTGTGGCTGAAGAAAACAAAGCCAACTTTCAGAGCCGCGGGTCAAAAACCTGTTAATTTAATTTAACTTTTTTTTTTCATAAAAAGTGGATTTACACAAACAACGACATGCATATTTAAGGCAAAACTAAAGGTTGTGGAAAGAACTAGGTGAGTAAAGATTGTCGAAAATGTGTTATTTTATTTGCATAGCTGTCCAACAAAGTTGGAAAAATATGTTTAATATTGGATGTTTATACAGTTTGTTACTGGCAGTGTCAGTACAAAAAATATTAGTTCCCATTTCAAGTCAATTTGAATTTACTGCCTGTTAGAAGAAAAGTTTGCCTCATTGTATTTTATATTCCAACAATGTGATTCTTAATAAGTTAGTAGCTAATAACCTGTCATACAGAAGCTGAAGCTGGTCCTGCGACAGGTTATTGGTAATTTTTTTCTCCTATTTGCACAAATATGTAACTATTTTATCTGTTCTGTAACTAAAAATTCAACACTTAGTAGCTCTGTGGCAATGTTAGTGCAAAATATGTGTTTCAAGTGGTTTATTTTTGAAGAAGGTTGAGCCTTTTTAATGTCTTGTGGAAAACTAAATTGTCTGTTAGGTATGGGCACATTGGCTCATCCCTTGAGTTATAGAAGCTTGTTATGAATCGGGTCAGGTACTGGGCTGAAAATGAGTTCATAAAATCTCAGAATTATTTTAGTGAATTACAGCAAGTCCTGTTTTTTCTGAAGCGTAATATAAAAGCCTCAAAGATTTTACACAGAGGAAGAGTAAGTTTGAAATTAACTCATGATTGTGGATACGCAGAAGGTGAGACTGGGGCCACTTTTTTACTGAAGACAATTATTTGGCTTTTATTAGTGTTCTTGTTGAGAAAAAAAAATAGATCTACAGTATTTTACTACATTTATTATTATTAAAAAAGTATTGCCTGTTGCTTTTCTGCCAATGTTTTGGACCAAGATTAGCTAAAACTATCACTCACATGAACCTTGATAATAACGTCATACCACGACAAATTTTTCACTATCTGTAAAATGTTTTGTGCGGCAGCCATCTAGAATTGTGTTGACTCCAAAAAGGTAATCATTTGTAGATAAACATCCAAAGAATACTTTCTGCAAGATTTACGTTTGTCTAGTGGTTTGTTTAATATTTTACTAACTCAATAATTGCCTCGTGTGGATGCATCGTATGTCCCTCATGTTGCTGTGTGTACAACAAATAACACTTCAAGCCGCCTTTAATTTTTTATCTTTTATTGCTTCTTTGACTAAAGCTCCGTTAATGATATTATTTTCTGATTCTGACTGCTGAATACAAACGGCAGCTTGTTACAGCTCTGAAACCAGCATCCTTTTTGTCTTTGGCACTGCCCCCAACATCAAATCCTGAAGCCTGTGAGTCAGCATACTGAAGTCTCGGAAGTTTATTTTTTTCTTTAAATGTCTTCATCACAGCACTTTGATGCAGAAAATAAAACCACTACATTCACTTTGCTGCTCAATATTCAAAAATAAAAACACTTTATAGCTGCTGTTTCAATTGCACTTGTAGGGTAGATCTTTGTATTAATTGCAGAAGCACCGTGTTGGTTAGTGAAGGCAGCAAAAACACTTAAAAACCAGGTGACAGCAGTTGGAGCTGTAAAACTCCACCTTGAAACAAAGCTAGGACTCTTCAGTATGCAGCTTCTGGGTAAAAAAAAAAAAAGAAAAGAGAATATGTCAGAGAGATGATAAAGGAGGTAAAAATATGAAAGAGAGTGCACAGAGTCAGGTTAACCTCATGTCTCAGAGCCTGCATAGATGTGTACTCCATGTGCTCCCTCTTCTTTCTGATCCAGCCGGGTTCATCTGGGATCAGAGCTGCCAGGATCACCTTGACTAAAATGAGTAAATGCTGCAAACACACAGAAAGTCAAAGCAGAGGGACTTGGAGAGGAGCAGTCGTTTAACTCGTGGCGTCTTACCTCCACGATAACAGCCCCCAGCAGAAGGTTGATGCTGCTCATCTCACCCTCCTGACACCTCTTCTGTAAACGTGGCGACAGCACCAGCAGCCAGCAGTTGGACACGACGGAGACAAAACTCAGGACCTCGAAGGCGATCTAAAACGCAGGATGTTATCAGACGGGGTCAAAGTGTGTGATTTCTGTTTGTACTGCACCCTACTGACCTGCCACACGCCCATGCCGGCCACGGGGGGAAAGAAGGGTTTACGAAAGAGTTTACAAATCTTGTAGGCATCCGTTCGGATCTCTGTTATGTTGTTGAGAAGCAGCAGAACGGCAGTGAGGGGAAACACGCAGGAGAAAAGACTCAAATACCCAAACTGCACCAGGAGCTCGATGTATTCTGCAAACAGGCCCTGATGGAGAAGCATACAGTTTAACTTTGTTGTATCATAAAATAGTTACATTTAAACGTGACTTAAATCCTGTTTAGATGTGTATTTTTTGTTTTGCTCACAGGAAAAGGAGGCAGGGTGCTCTGGTTCCTGAATTTATCCTCTTCTGGGTCGTCTTCCGTCTCTGTCCTGTGGGGGGCGCTGATGAATCGGTCCACCAGGTAAGGTATGACCACCTCTGTCACCTGGTTCACCAGCTGACTCACGATCAGCAAAGAGGCTAAACGCTTCAAACACACAGAAGAAAACCTGTACACATCTGACTTTACATCCTGGATCCACTCCACAGCTGGGTTGGTTTAAAATACTCCTCGATAAAACAGCAAACAAGGTAAAATATCCTTAAATTAGTTTAAAAAACGGACCTAAAAATGTTCAAAAAACCTTATTAAAGCCACATAAAGAAGCAGCATTAATGCTTTAGTTGGATTTAGCTGGAAAATAAATGTCTCACTACTTTGACTTGACTTTGACTAAAGAGTTGTAAAGTATCCAAATAAGGGAAAAAAAAGTCTAGTGAAAGACAATATCCAGACTTTTTACAGAGAAAAAATATTTAAAGTTCATGGAAGCCCTGCAGTATATATCTTTCTAAAGTCTAAACAACGTTTTAAAAGTAGAGCTGCTACCTTCCGAAGCAGTGGCACGTCCTGCTTGAAGAAAGCAATATGGAAGAGCACTGCAAAGTAGTTGAAGAAGGTGAACTGAAGAAATGAAGAAAAAGATCGGGTCATAGTGTCAGTCAGATTGGGTTAACGATCAGCGACTGGACTGAAAGGAGAGCAGAACTCACCACCAAGACCTTTCCAGTCAGATGGTTTTCGTATGAAGACTCTTCTCTGTGGTTCTCTGAGGCAAAATAAGAAAAGTTCAACTTTATTCTCGTCTATAAAGTGCATTCCGTTAAAGCTGCAAGAATTTCGGACAGGACAAAATAAATATCTTCTTTAATCTTCTACAAATCATCACAAATGATAGAGAAATTAGCATTTTTTGCTGAGAGCTGAACAACTTTAATTTGCTGAAGAAGCTAAAACTGAGCAGAACACCTGTTAAAAGCTAAAAGGAGCAAATGGTAGATAGAATTAAAAGGAACAGAAAGCTAGCTAAGAGCCAAAAGAAGCGGAACACTAGAACGAAAAGAAGCAGAATCTTAGCTAAAAGAAACGGAACAAAAGCTAAAAACAGTAAAATGGTAGATAAAAGCTAAAAGGAGCAGAATGCTAGCTACAAACTAAAAGGTATAAAGCTCTAGCTAAAAGTTAAAGGGAGCAGAATGCTAGCTAAAAACTTAAAAGGAGCAAAGCACAAGCTAAAAAGAGCAAAACACTAGCTAGCGCTAAACGGAGCATAATGCTAGCTAAAAGGAGCATAATGCTAGTTTAAAGCTAAAAGAAGCAGAATGGAAGCTAGAACTAAAAGTAGCAGAATGCTAGCTAAAATCTAAAAGGAGAAGACAAGCTAAAAGGAGCAAAAGTTGTAGCTAAAAGCCAAAAGGAGCATAATATTAGCTAGATCTAAAAAGAACAGTACACAAGAAAAACAAAACAAAAAAAAAGCTAAAGCTAGCTAAAAACTAAAAAGAATATAAAACTAGCTAAAAGGAGCAGAATGGTAGCTAAAAAAATTAAAAGAGCAAAACATAAATTTCAAGAAGCACAATGTTAGTTAAAAGGAGCAAAAGTTAACCCCTGCTGAAAGTAGGAGAACGGTAGCTAAAAGTATGGTAGCCAGAAGCTGAAAGTAGAAATCGGCTAGTTAAAATCACTAAGTGACAAACTGAATTTAGTACAAAAAACTAATTAACAACAACAACAACAAAAGATTCTACATAAAAATGAAAAAGGAAATGCTGATTCAGTGTTCAGACAAATTTCTTCTTTGGATGAGTTTCTGATCCAGCATGGGTCACCTCTGCCTGCTCACCATATTCAGTCAGAGACTGAGCCACCGTCTTGTAAACCGTGGCGAGCATGTTTGTATAGACGATGTGCAGCACTGAGGGCACATAGAGCAAAGCCTTAGACAGCAGAGAGTCCCAGTTCTTGTGCAGCTGCTGGACCTGGGCCTCCCCCCAGTAGAAACATGTCATCCCCAGAACTACCAGCCCTGTAGGAGAGACGGTTCCATCAACGTCTGTAACAGTTCAGCAGATGGTTCACTGCTCACTTCATTTAACAGTCTCACCTAAAAACAGCCCCACCACCGGGACCGACACCAGTGCCATCCGTAGTTCCCTCTGCCACTCAGAGAACAGCGGCTCCATGCGACCGGTCACCGGGTTCACCCCAAGTTCTCCGTGGAAACCGGGCCGAGGCTCTGCAAAGCGTTCGGCCAGGCTCATGGTCCCCCAGCGGTACGAGAGTGAGGAGCTCCGGCGTTTCCACAGCTCTATAATCACAGTGGACCAGATCATGCTGAATACTGCCTGGACCATGTGACCGCTGATTACCAGTCCTGGGTCATCCTGGTCATCTGCAGCCTGAGGACCTGAGACTGACTCCAGCATCTCCCTGTGGACCTCACCTGAGACATGCAAGAAGATCTTTTTAACAACATGCAGCAGAACATCTGTAGAACCACCTGAATACCTGCTTCTGTAGATAAACACATCACTGCCATCATCTAAAGAGGATAAATCAAAATGATTGTTCAGTTTCTAATTACCTCAATGCATTTTTGCACTTTTTAATTAAAGAAAAACACTTTCTGTAATACAAGTTTTCTGAAGGAAAAAAGTATAAATAAGATTAACCCAAAGTAATTTATCCTAAGCAGGTATATAGATGCACCAATACCATTTTAATTTTTTTAAATTGAGTACAAGTACTTACATTGTAGTACTTGCAGATACCCGAGTACTAACGAATGCCATTACACCTCTTACAATTTGTAAAACCTCTAATTATAAATGACCTCTGTTTTAATATTTCATGTTGAAAATTTATTTTTTTAACATGTGAAAAATAATTTAAAAAATGTATAAATCAATCTAACTTGGCCCCACTTTCCCCAATTTTTTTTTACTCATGTTTAATGGTCATTCAAACAGTAATTTTTGGCACAACAGAGACAGTTTCTAAACTAAGTAACACTGCTAAAAGCTGAAGTATAAATAATATTAGGAAAACAAAGCAATGGACAGAGTGTCTGTTACTTTCCTCTTTAAAAGTCACCCAGCATGAATGGTGAGGGACAGCATGAGTTTAGTATTAGTTTTCCTTTGAAACCATTATGGCAGTGTCTGCTCATTAAGCAGCTCAATGCCCTGGGGTGGAAGACTGATCACCGGTCAGTTTTGACCACATCCACTCCCCATTTCGTCCCCTCCTCTCAGAACGGTGGCGGCTGTCCAGACTTGCTGCTGACTATCCAGGTGGATCGATGCCTCCTGCACCGCTCTCATCTTTCTGTAAGGAAGGAGGCCTTCGTCCTCTTGTCATGGACTGAGCACTGAGATTGCTGCGAAGCTCCGTTGCTGCCTTCTGCTCAGTCGTTCACTTTGAAATACCTCCGCATTTGTGTGTTTATTGGCAGTTGGGAAACAACTTTATGTTCACCAACTGTTAAGGAATGTGGCTTAGGACGGCCAACTCGAAACAAACAAATTAAAAACTACCACCACACAGCTGATGTTGCTCCTCTACCATTTGACCACTCAGCTGAGAGGTGAACACTATGTTAAACTGGCATTGGTACTTTGGCATCAGAGTGCTTTTATGAGTATTGGTAGATGTCCACGCTATCAAACAGAAATCCAACACAGGTATTGGTGCATCTATAAATAATTGCATTCTAATAAACTTTAATTAAAATAAACTAAAGTTAATTTACTGGTATTGATGTATTAGAAACTTAAACAGCTGCTTTGTCTTTTTTATTATTATTGTAGAATAAATCAATATATCTCAATTTTAAAGGTCAAATAATACTTAAAAGTCCTTTTTAATATATTTAATATGTCATAATGAAGATAAATCCACACACTTACTTGAAAAGTATGCAATGGACATGCCCAGTATGGCTGGAGGAAGCAGAGACCAGGTGTAGAAATCGAGGAAACTGAAGTAGAACGCCACAGAGCTTCCAAAATACTCATTGACTTTATCTGGATACATTAAGACAGAGAGGGGTTTGGTGTTGGTGGTCGCCTACATGTGGTACTGTGACTCGGCTCTTCTTATCAGTGAGTTTTACGTGTGCGTTGTGAATCCACCCACCCAGCGGCTGAACCAGCTGGTTCCCAGCGTACCAGCCTTTGCCGAGGTCCTTCAGTTTTTTTGGATTGTGGAGCGGAAATGTGTCAACAATCACACCGAATGATCCCAGCTTTTGCCCTGCAACAACATGCCATCTTGTTGTGTCAGAGAAACGCTCTGAACCCACAGTGACATCAGAATATATTTTTTAAAAAGTTAATAAAATCATAATTTTTACTGTTAGGATGAATAAATCTCAAGTAAACAACAGTAACAACCACACAAATCAGCCAGGATGTTTAAACATGTAGTCGGTACTAGGATTCCCTATGGAATGCATCTTATCTCCTGTTTGGACCCATTTGGACCAACTTGAATCAGGTATTGCACTGGTGATTTACCTTGAGCTCTTTCACTTACCACTTAGCTGCCAATAAGTTGGTGGTTAATGTCAACATATACTGTAAGTTCATGTTCAGATTCTGTCATTAACCCGTCTTTTTCTGGATTCTGGTACCGTGTAGAGAACGACATTACAAGTAGACGTTTGGATCAGTTTTTTTTTTTTCCTTCTACTAATTGTACTTACAACAACTTCTTTCAGCTTTTCCCTCTTCAGAGGTCACCACAGCGAGTCATCCTCCTCCATCTCACTCTGTTCTCTGCATCCTCTGTCCTCACTCCAACTACCTCCATGCCCTCTCTAACTGCATCCATATTACTGTATCTCCTCTTTGGCTTTTACCTGGCAGCTGCATTTCTAGCATCCTTCTACCATTATACCAACTGTCCCTGCTCTGGACATGTCCAAACCATCTCAGTCTGGCCTCTCTAACTCCTGTCTTGAAAACTTTTCCTTTGACCTTTGCCTCCACTCTTTTGTCACAGATCACTCTTGAAACCTTTGTCCATTCATTCCATCCTGCGTGGACTCTTCTTCACAGCTTTATGACACTCACTGATTCACTTAATACTAGTACTTAATATCCTAATATTGATAAAAGATGCTTTAAACATAACTGAGTATGAGTTTTCGAAATGCCAACTGGTGATATTTAAACAGCAAATTACAGTCATTTTAAAATGGAATACACTACACAGTGCTGTGCAAAAGTCTTGACTCATCTCTCATCTTTAAATATTTTGTTTCCAATGTTTTATACTGAATAAAAAATATAAATGCAACACTTTTGTTTTTGCTCCCATTTTTCATGAGCTGAATTCAAACAAAGACTTTTTCTATGTACACATTAGTGTTTTTTTCTCAAATATTTTCACAAATTTGTGTAAATTTGTGTTAGTGAGCACTTCTTTTTTGCCGAGATAATCCATCCACCTCACAAATGTGGTATATCAGGCTGACCACAATAAAAGGCCATTCTAAAATGTGCAGCTTTACTGTATTGGGGGAGGGGGGTGATGGGGTCAGAAAATCAGTCAACATCTTGTGTGGCCACCATTTGCCTCACACAGTGCAACACACCTCCTTCACATAGAGATGATCAGGTTTTTGGTTGTGGCCTGTGGAACGTTGGTCCACTCTTCTTCAATGGCTGTGAAGTTGCTGGATATTGTCAGAAACTGGAACACGCTGTTGTATACGCTGATCCAGAGGATCTCAAACATGCTCAATGGGTGACATGTTCGCTGAGTATGCATGAATGATGAGTCCCATGGGAAAACTGTATGTTTTCAGCTTCCAGGAATTGTGTACAGATCCTTGCAACTTGGTGCCGTGGATTATCAAGCTGCAACACGAGGTGATGGTCATAGATGACTGGCACAACAATGGACCTCAGGATCTCATCACGGTATCTCAGTGCATTCAAATTGCCATCACTAAAATGCACCTGTGTTCACTGTCCATAACCTACACCTGCCCATACCATAACCCCACCGCCACCATGGGCGACTTGATTCACAACATTGACATCAGCAAACCGCTCACCCACACGACACCATACATGTAGTCTGCCATCTGCCCGGGATTCATCCATGAAGAGAACACTTCTCCAACATGCCATACGCCATCTAATGTGAGCATTTGCTCATTCAAGGGAGTTACAACTATAAACTGCGGTCAGGTAGAGACCCCGATGAGAACGGTGAGCATGCCAGTGAGTTTCCCTGAGACGTTTTCTGACAGTTTGTGCAAATCGATTGTTGCAGCAGCTGTATGGGTGCCCGGTCTCAGACGATCTTGGAGGTGAAGATACTGGATGTGGAGGTCCTGGGCTGGTGTGGTTACACGTGGCCTACAGTTGTGAGGCCAGTTGGATGTACTGCCAAATTCTCTGAAACACTTTAGTAGTTGGCTTATGGTAGAGAAATGAACATTCAATTCACAAGCAACAGCTCTGGTGGACATTCCTGCAATCATGATTATTGCACGCTCCCTCAAAACTTGTGCCTTGTGATCAAACTGCACATTTTAGAGTAGCCTTTTGTTGTGGTCAGCCTTAGTCACACCTGTGCAATGATCATGCTGTCTAATTATCATCTTGCAATGCCACATCTGTGAGGTGGATGGATTACCTCAGCAAAGGAGAGGTGCTCACTAACACAGATTTACACAAATTTGTGAACAATATTTGAGAGAAAAGGGCCTTTTGTGCACATAGAAAAAGTCTTAGATGTTTGTTATGTTAAACATGTCCCATGGGGACATCAACAGATAATGTCTCATGGGACATCAAGCATGGTGTTTGATGAACATATCCCATGTTTGATATGTCCCATATTTCCTCATGAAATATGGGAGCAAAAACAAAAGTGTTGCGTTTGTTTTTTTCAGTATGAATGAAACCGTCCTTCCTGTTTTCTTTTCCTCAGGCATTCAAACTGAAACAAACACTGGTTTATTGTCCTCAGTTTGCTCCAACAGTAAATGATTCAGTATCATGGGACCTTCCTGTTTCTCTGGATTGCAACTAAGTCTGTAAACACAACCAGCTACTCACAGATGTTGGCCCGGTTCAGCAGTATGCAGCTGTCGGACAGACCCGGTATCCTCAGGTCCCTCTGCGCTCGCAGGCCATCCAGCTCAAACTTCACTATGTACTGTCGCTCTGCTGAGGTGAGAAACATCTCCATGTTGTCTGTCATACACAGATGTAAACGGCATTAAATCACACACACAATATATTTAAACATTCAGATTTTGATCTCAGTTTTATTCTACTTAAAGTGATGAACAACATGATTCTTGCTGCTGATGCTGGAAAATCATCCGTTAGTCGTATTGGATCCAAGTGCAGCTTATTCTACTGGACTGCCTCCAAAACTGGGTATCTCTGATGTAGCCTTGTCCACACAGGAGTGCTGTCGTTCCAACATAATCTTTTCCCTGTTAGCACGTAAGTGGTTTTTATACTACTCTGAGCAACTGGCATCTGCAGCACAAACACAGGTATTGTGTCGTAGGTTAGGCAGGAGATGGGACTGTGACTTTGTCGTTTATAAAAGTTTAGATGTGGGCTATCCGCACGAGCACCCAACAGTGGCAATTAAGGATTTTCTCACTCTGAAACCCAATTTAGAAAGAGTTTAGGTAATCTTACCTTATGATACCCAGGTGTGTCTTTATTTTACCCCAATGACCCACAGCAACATTAACTCCCTGAATGACTTTATCCTCAACCTCATGTGCTGAATGGCTCAAAACGTTATGAAGCTTAATATTGAGAAGAACTGAGCTGATTTCATTTTAGGCCCGACTCTTGAAACTTGTGCTTCACACCATCTAGGTTCCCTGTCTGGATATTTTACATTAATCTGTAGGAAGCTTGGAGTTATCTTTGACAAGAACCACACCTTGAACTCGTGTAAATTCAATAGTCCAGTGCTGTTTGTTTATTTTTTAATTAATTAATTAATTTATTTGTTTATTTAATTGCATCTTAGGGAGAGTGATAAAATGTTATCCAGGAGCAATCTTGAGAAGGTCATTTATGCTTACATTTCATCCTGCTGGGGCTATCACAACTTCTCATATTAAACATGTCTGAGTCAACAGAATGTACAACATATGGTACTTGACACAATACTCATGCCTGAATATATAAGTTAGTTTGTCCAAAACACAGCAGCCAGGCTTTTCTCTAAATTGTGAAAAAGACAGCTTTTCTACACTGACTTTAAGTAACTTTAGACTTGTCGAAAGACTTTATCGATAACCTACAATGCCTGAGCAGGTCTTGCTTCTAAATACACTAATATTGACCTTTTTAAGTCCTATCTACAGCCTGTTTAACCATCCTTAAATCCTATTTAAATAACACGGGTGGCCTTCTCTTAAGAGTCCATGTTCTTTGGAATAACCTCCCAGGAAAGATTATACAGGCCAACTTCATATTCCTTTAAAGACAACTCAAAACTGGTTCATCCCTAAAACTAACGAAATGAAAACGTTCTGAAAATGATCAAGTACTAGGAGTGAAAATACAACTAAAAGCCTTCAGGAGGTCTGCAGAGCTGTTCATCAAGACTGCTTTTAAAAGATTACAAGAAAGTAGGAGTCCTTTTTAGCAATGCTACAACAGAAAGTAAAGCCAGCTCAAATGCTTCAACATGGCAGTCTCACCTTATTTGGGAACAAGAACGTTAAACACACAGTCCACAGCTCTGCGCTACATTTTCGTTTTTGAGTAATAAAGTAAAATTAGGTTTACCCTTATCTTCTAGAATGATCATAAAACACTGATAAGCTGTTCTAGTCATCTTTTTAACATCAAACTTGCAAATTATACTGCAGTCATAATTCATAAGATAGTGTTGCACAGTGTTGCTGTAAAATCTCAGGCTGCTTCTGCAGAGTACTTCATATATATTCTGTTTAATAGTGACAGAGTTTACTTTACAGACATCCAGAGTAAAAAAAAAAATAAAGACGAACATGAACACCACGTTACTGTCTCGTGTTGTTTTTTTTTATCATGTAAAGTCTGTTCAGACACCATCAAAGCTCTCAGGCCTACCTGAATCTTTAAAGTTGTCTCTGTCGCTGTAGGAAAATGACTCCATGTTGTCGTTTTGGTAAATCTTACAAAGACCCAGCTCCTCTGTGGCCCGGAGCAACGTGCAGCGAGGCGCCGACACCACGATGATGTTACCGCTGGCGTCCTCGCCCGGGTGGGCCAGTAAACCAGCACCTGGAGCGGGACAGTGAACATTCGACAGGTGCACATTTACTGAAATATATAACACTAAAGTTTTGTGTGGACATATAACAATAAATAGGAATCTGTTTAATGTGTGACTTCTGGATCAGCACGCACTGTTTTCCTGTTTGAAGTTTCTTCCGTACATTATATTTTATTCTTTTACAAACTGCTGAAGCAGATTTCAAGTAGAACAAGGTTTTTTTTAATGGAATATAATAAATCTCTCTTTTTTTTACTTGTGTGTGTGTGTGTGTGTGGGGGGGGTGGGGTGTAATTAGTGTTGAATATTTAGAAAAATAAAAGTTAATCCCTGGAATGGGCTGCATGTTTTGATATAAGAACGGCTAAAATAGCACAAAGTTAGCAGAATTAGTTGACTGTCAGAAATGTACGTAAACATTTAAAACAATTAGCATTTATTCAATAGCATTATTACGTACTCGCATGAAAGAATTGGCAAATGTTTTACACTAGATGCCCTTCCTGACACAACCTGGACTCGAACCAGCAGCCTCAGAATTACCAGACTGAGGCACTGACCTCAGAGCTACCGCAGCCCCTTTGACACAATTCTGGGTTTAAAACTATTTCTCTAAACTTGGAGCTTGAAATGTACATTTTCCTGTTTTAAAACACGCATGTATCAAACATCGTCTTCCATCGGTACAAAACAAATGCTTTCTACTTTAGCCATTATGCTTTGCATTATCACTTGAATAATTGAACTTGATTAATTGACATGTTTGATGTGAATGCAGTTCAATAGTTTAGTGATGGTTCCTGGAAACATCTCGATCGATGAGGCAGACGCTCAAACATTTGATCTGCTGTGTTTTTCTTTGCAGACGGACAGCGGCGCAGCAGAAAACTCGAGTCCTCACCTCCATCTTTATGAGGAGCTCCAATGAGTTTGATGAGCCATCGCTTCGTCTCCGGGCCCACTTTCTTCCCGAGCTTCACCAGAACCAGCGGCTCAACCCGGTCTGAATAGCAGCAGGGGCAGCTGACTTTAGTCCAGCCTGGTCCAGAAGAGGAGGTGGCGGCGCTCAGTTTGCTCTGAACCTTCCCCGCTGCTGCTTCGCCGCCCAGCTGCTGGGTGGATGGGCTCTGGCTGCCAGATGCACCTTCATCATCTCCTGCCTTCTTCATCGTGAGTCTGAGCACAAAAACGTCACAAATGAAATAAAATCATCTTACAGTTTGTTGAGAAACAACAAAAGATTTGGAACAAACCTCATAAGATGTGTAAGCGCTCAGATTATGTCTTGAGGATGACTCTCAGCTACTACCACACCAAGTTTGAGCTCAATATCTGTCAGTTGTACTGATCGATTAACTGTGCTAACCTTTTTGATTGGCATTGACGCCAAAATTTAAATAGTTGTAGATGTAAAATCCACAATCATTTCCTGAAAGTTTCATTCAAATCTGTCCACGGATTTACGAGATATTTTGCTAAAACAGGCACATGTACACTCATGGTTATCATCCTTCAACTGGACAATTGACAAATGAACATTTCTCGCCTCTCTGGCATCGTTTTTAACAAAGTCATAGTTCTGGTTGACCCAGTTTCTCTTGTATGTTTTAATAAATTGAGACTAATTATGCAAATATAGCAAATGCTCTAAAAAACAATTTCCTGGCCCTAAAAGTAAAACTATAAGCTGCACAGATTATTAACTTGTACTGATGCAAAGGTTAAAAAAACCCTGAAGATTTCTCCTGTTTCAAACCTCCACTGTGAAAATGAGACATCTTTCATGTCATAACTGTGTCATAAACAATTTAGAAAAATAATAACCGTAAATAAACGCACCATCCTCTCATCAAACCATTTTCAAAGCACCTAAATATTAAAACCAGTCAAATAACAGTTTTAATTTTCATTTTGCATTTTGACATTTGCATCTTCTGTTGAGTTATAACTCCTTGCAGAGAGTTTAGATTTGCATGAACACAGAAACTTCATGTGTCACTTTTTATTTACAGTCCGCTTGTTTTTCAGTCACTCGCTGCACCGTCAAGATACAAATCTGCTGTCAAGACTTCAGCAAACCGTGGCTGCTTCAGCCCGAACGCCGGTCTGACACCGAACTTCTTGTGTTCTGTTTGTTAAAGAGGCGCAGACAATCCGGTGTCAAACTTATTCAGCCAGATGTGAAAGTGATAAAGAACTTCCTATGTGCGATCGGTCTGAGTGTCGACAGAACACATTTCGGGTTGAGAGTAGATGAGTCAGGAAATGCAGTACTGTACCTGGCAGGGCGCTGATGATGAGGTTCTGGGCTCCAGTTCTTCGTCGGGCCCGCCCCAAACTCCTGTTTGAGTGCACACACACTGAAAGAGGCAGAACCATCAGATCAGGAGCCCAGATTAAAAGAAACCAGCTGCAACAAACCGTGCAGACACTTACCCAGCTTCTGAGTGTTTGCTCTCAGTTTTCTCTAAGATTGTGTTAGTGTGCGTGGGTGTGTGTTTGGTGTGTGTTGCAGGAATGCGGAGAAACTTCCCAGAGGCTGCAGGGTGTGTAGTCTTGTTTGGTTTTTTTGTTCAGACTCCTCCCTGCTGTGCTGCCGGCTCCTGTTTTACTGCTGCAGCTGCAGCTCAGGGTCCTACTGCTCCACAGCTGCCGTCACGTTTGCACAAAACACACAAACAAAAAGGCAGAAGCTGCAAAACTCTCAGGTTAAAATGAAACGGAGATGTGAGACGGGAACAAACACGAGACTGAATGAAAACATCATATTTTGTCTGTTTACGGTGAAGTGTTTACTGTTGAACACGTTACTGCTGCATCACAACAGTATTTATCTGATTCTCACCTGTATGTTGGTTTATTGCTCCACCTACTGGAGATTAAAGGTCAGCGCCACACAGGATGAAAGTTGAGTACACTGTTAGCAAAACATTTAATGAACTATCCATCCATTCCTTTTCGGGTTGCCACTGAACAAATTTAATGAAACTAGCAGAAAATAATAATATTATATATATTATAATAGTATTGCAGAGTCATCCCCAAGAACTTTTACAAACTCCTTCCATGAACTGTTTAGACTCAACACTGTCTGTTAGCAAATTATCTTATAAACCAACAAAAAAAGTTAAATCGTCATCTGAACCAGTTTCTTTTAAGTGAGAAACGTTTCGTCCCCCATCCAGAGGACTTCCTCTGTCTGCGGCCTGTCAAGCAGATCTGTCCCATAAGTAGTTTTCATTGCTGTGTTTCAAGCCAGCCTCCTGTTGGAATCTCAGAAGCAGGTTTTTAACGCGTGCAAACCCATCGGTCCAAAAAACTTTTTTTCTGAACCACTTTGACTTTGCAACATTTTTCAGTCAGGTCATCTGGACAGTTTCTTTTTTTGTGCTGAAACGTTTCGCCTTTGATCCGGAAGGCTTCATCAGTCAAGGAAACGCACAACACAAAACTGATTCTTCCCCCAACAGTTTACTCCAAAGTGGAACAAACCAGTTATGTTGATGCTAAGATGGTCTCTTTGGTACGCCCCCTCCTCCATTGCCGGCCCTCTTCCTTGTTGACAGTCGTGTCAAACTGGTTGAAAACAACAAAGGCCATGCTCAATAATCCAGGTATACAATCCAACATTTTTCAGTCAAGTCATCTGGACAGACTTTGGTTGTCCTCAAACTATTTCTGTGAATAGCAAGTTGGCCATCTGGCCTAAAACACTTGATTGTGTGTTTTGCATGTGGAAAGTACTACAGTACTTTTGAGATTCCAACAGGAAACTGGCTTGAAACACAATGAAAACTACTTATGGGACAGATCTGGTTGGCAGGCCGCAGACAGACAAAGTCCTCTGGATGGGGGACGAAACATTTCTCACTTAAAGAAACTGGTCCTGATTAACATAATTTAACCTTTTTTGTTGTTATCTACCTGGATGATTGAGCTTTCAACCCTCTTTTATCTCGTGAACCATCCATCCATCCTTTTACCCACTTCTTCATTTTTGGTCCATGGGTGTCACTGGTGCCTATGTACAGCTATCTGTGCGAGAGGCGGGGTACACCCTGGACAGGTCTCCAGTCCATCACAGGGCCACATAGAGACAAACAAGACAAACAATCATTCACTCACACCTAGGGACAGTTTAGAGTTATCAATTAGCCTAACATGCATGCTTGGCCTGTGGGAGGAAACGGGAGTACCTGGAGAAAACCCACGGATGCACGGAGAGAACTAGCAAACTCCACCCAGAAAGGCCCCTGGACCGGGATTTGAACTGGCAACCTTTTTGCTGAGAGGCAGCAGCCCTACCAGTTGTGCCACTGTGCTGCCCTCATGAACCAATGAACAAATTTAATCAAACTCGCAGAAAATAATAATTTATATATATATATATATATATATATATATATATATATATATATAATGGTATATAATATTATCAGTATCTGAGTCATCCCCATGAACTCTTACAAACTCCTGATATTAGCTATTTAGACTCAACACACTCTGTTAGCAAAATATCTCATAAACCACTGTACAGCTTTTAATGATATTTTCAAGACTGGATATACTTCTTGAAGTGAATAACTTTTGGAGACATCCTAATTCAAGATGGCCGCCACAACCAAACAAAACGGCTTTTGCTCAGTTTTACAGAGATGAAGCTAAATTTAATGTGGTAGTAGCTGAGAGTCATTCACCGCCCCTGCTCTGTGTGAGACTTACAACTTCAGCATTTCTTATGTAGGTTTGTTTAAACTTTGGCATAAGTCATTTTTATTGTTGTCATTCAAAAAGTTTAGTAAGTTATCTTTTTTTTTAATGTAGCTTTATTTTAGTCATAAAGAATGTTGGGTTGCAGCCAGCTTGTGTCATCGTTGGACTTCAGCCTTTCCTCAGACCTTCCTGCTCAACACGATAAAGCAAGAACAGAAAACAAACGGTTTGTTTCTCATTATCTTGAGGTCTTAGATAAAACAATGTCACTAAAAAGTAAATTTTTCTCAGCTTCTACGCTGCTTTAATGTTTCCAAACAGAACAAAGACAACTGTGATGGTTTTTTTTAATTACTTAAGTTAGCTGTATGGTTTCACCTCATAACCTTTTTTTTTTTTAACACCCCGCAGGGCACGCAGAAACATCTGTCATTTACAAATTTCAAAATATAATCAACATTTTGATAATTTGCCATAAATGTCAAAGTAAAAAGCTGTTGTTAATAGCTTGAACTGTCATTGTCCGAGGTAGAGTAACAGTGATACCTTAAACTTTTTTTTATTTATTGGGGGGGTGGTAAAGGGGCCACTAAAAACCTTTGGGTGGCACCAAAACCAAATCTAAATGTTGTAGAAGTTAAACTTTGGTATGACTAAAATAAGGAGGATGGATTACATCTGATTAGACATTAAATAAGACTTTCATGTTGTAAAAATAAATGTCTCAATGTTGAACGTTTGAGAAATAATTAAAATTAGCTCGAAAAACAAAATGACAGGTTTGATTTTTTGACTGTAGGCTATAAACATGCTATGAATCTAAACTTTTTCTTTAGTCTTAAAAAGACGCTTTATTTTCTGCATACATTTAGCAATATTTGGAGACATCTAAAGTAAAACTATAAATTGAGCTGTAAATACATCTATGAATTTGTAAAACTGGTTGTTGCTTCAAATCTTTCATCAATACACATGAAGAAAATCCATCCATCCATTATCTTTACCCGTTTATTCCATTTTGGGTCACGGGGGTCACTGGTGCCCATGTCCAGCAATCACTGTGCGAGGGGCGGGGTACACCCTGGACGGGTCGCAAGTCCATCGCAGGGCCACATAGAGACAAACAACCATTCACACTCTTACTCACACCTAGGGACAATTTAGAGTTACCAATCAGCCTAACATGCATGTTTTTGGTCTGTGGGAGGAAACCGGAGTACCCGGAGAAAACCCACGCATGCACGGAGAGAACATGCAAACTCCACCCAGAAAGGCCCCCGGACCGGGGTTTGAACCAAGGACCTGCTCGCTGAGAGGCAGCAGCTCTACCAGTTGCGCCACCGTGCTGCCATGAAGAAAATCATTAAGTAAAATGTAAAGTAGAAAGGTGTTTAAATAGTTTCAGCATTTGGATATAAAACTAGAAATGCCATCTATTACAGGTTAATTTATTAGATTTGCTACACGTTCTATAAAAATGTTTTAAAACCAAATTTTACTTTAATGAAAATCTTTTAGATTTTGAGATGGATAAAAAATAACAGACCAACATTGGAAATATACATTTATTTACAGTTTACATTGCATATAAATTTCAATTTTCAAAATAAAACATGAAGCAAGGTAAACACATTTAAGAAATATATTTTATGCTGCTCAAAGTTGAGCATGAAAGTAGTTTGTGTAAGAATCAAAAGCTTTCAGGTTTTAATTTTTTCACATAATTATACATAAATAAGATGCATGTTTTATTATATTTTATTCCACCATGTTGAAGTATTTCACTTTGCCAAGCCGACAGCACAATCAAATTATTACTTGCTCATTAGTTTGGTCATTAATTAAACAAAACATCTTTGTGTGGTTTAATGCTTATAACTTGACCGTACGGGGGTTCTCCACAGCCGGTACCTTAAATAGTTTTTTTAAATGACACATTTTGGTTCTGGATCAGTTCCAACTCACCCCTGAAAACCCACTGGTTTTACTCCAGTTTCTGTAGCGCAGCCCTCATTACATTTAAACATTCTTATCACCGCAGTGAACTCGTAGAAAAAAAGTGATAAAAGTTGTGATATTGCTTTCTGGGTTAATATCTGAAATAAATGCTCTTCTTATAGAAGAAAATAAGCAGGCATCTTTATTAAAGCGTGAAACAGTTATAGGAGGTAAAGTTCTTCAGTAGATGTATTTTTATTTTACTTTTTTTGTGTGCAACAGATACGTAAAAAAAGTTTGTTCTGCTCGAGTCATCAGCCCTCCGATCGGGTATCTGAAGGAGATGTGCTGAAGATCCGCCAGCTGGTGCCGAGACGTCCTGCCGTAGAGTCAGTTCATGGATCATCATCCTCTGCAGGGATCTGCGGGGCCAAATGACCCAGGTGGATGGAGCAGAACCCAAAGGCGGGACTAGTTTGGAGTCTGGACCAAAGGTAACTCAGACCTGAAGCAAAAAGCAGCCAGTTGGTGGTAAACCACTTTTGGCTCCAGCTTCGCTCCTTAAATATTTTTATTTCTGAAATCCTTATTGTGCCCCTTTTGATTTTAAGGTTTAAAGACTGAAGGTTTTAAAGTCACTCATTGCAAATCTGTAAAAACAAAATGTTATCCTGAACTGTATCAAATGGCGCCATTTGAAAGAGTTTACTCCAGTTGTTTTCCAGCTGTGTTGAAATGTGGGTATGCACTCAATGTAAACAAAGCACTGAAAACCGTGCAGATGTTTCAATCATGTGAACGACCGACAATACAGCTGGGCGATACCGCTAAATTTGGTACTGATCCGAAATCAAGTAAACACAGACCCAGTATCACCAATATCAATCCAATACGTTTAAAGGGGCAGCCGAGTTTCCCACATGGAGAGCGGAGTGTCACGTTTTATTTCCATTATCATTTTATTCTATTGCTTTTCACTAATAATTAGACGTTTGAATTTTAAAACCCAGAATGGGTCTTAGGCAAAGTTTCCCAGTAAGTTAAAAAATAAATAAATCTGCATCACTACTGACTTTGCAGAAATTAAATTGGCACAAAGTGGAGAATAAATGTTTTTGAATGTACATACTTTAGTTTTTGTTCAAAATTAAACATTTTCCTTTTTCATTGCACTTCAGGAACAGTAGAAACTCGTATTGATTTTATCAATATTTGTACAGCTCCGCACATCACTACTGACAATAGCTGTCGAATAAATCTGGCAAAATCAGAGAAGCGTAGAATCGTAGAGAAGACGCTTTGTTGGAAATAGAAGAGCGAGTCTGCTGCCGAACGCCAAAGAAAATCAAAAAAGTTTGAGTGAGAAAACTTGAATAAATATCGGGGCTCGAGCTTCTAGAGCTTTTTATCTGCAGACGTTACTCAACAGATCTGAGCGTAAACGTGTACCAAAACATTACAACTGTCAGACTTGTCCATCCTAAACAGCTCTGCTATGGACGGCAACGTTTATTTATTATAGTCACTTGGGTTGTGTTGTAGGTAAACAAACACGTGGTGTTTGGCAGACTTCATTGTGCTGATTTTGTTTCTTATGGTATGAACCTTTTTTTGATCAGTCTTCACAACTTTGCAATGAGCACTTTCACCTACAGTCTGCAGCTCTGACGGGGCTTCCTCCTGTGACCTTTGACCCCAAGATCCCCACAGCAGGAAGTCCGACTGACTGGCTTCAAGCCTTCAACTCCATCCCTCCATCACCACAAAGACAGCTCTCTCTAAATCCACTTGGTAAAGTATCCCATCATCCCTCTCACTGACAACACAAAGCTCGTGCAGCTGAAGTCTCTCTTTACACAAAGGAATTTAAAAAACTTATTATTTTTTTTTTACATTCTTGAATCAAAGAGAGAAAAATACAGAACAGATATGCAAAAGAATATGTGCACTTTGGTTTCAAACATTTGGAGCCCTTGTTTGTCGCTGCAGTACATTTCACATCTGCAGCGGTTGTTTATCACCAATAAATTAAATCTGGGCTGTAAAACGAGGCTCGGTGCGATCCAATGATCTGAAACCAAATGTTTTCTGTTCATAGCTGTGAAAGTGACTAAAACAGAAAGTAAGAAGGAGGGGTGAAGTCATTTCCTGAGTTGATAGTTTGGGTGTACGCACACACTTTTGTCAACGTTCACACACCATCTGTCACTTCCTTTTCCCTCTCTAAAGGTGAGATATTCAAACATCTGCATTAATTTGTTAAATGTTATTCCTGTTGAGCACCTGAATGCTTTCTTTGAAACAAACTAAACAAAACGTGCACATGCGTGAACGAGTGACCCCACCTCCCAGTTGTGTGCACGGCGATCAGGTGAGGATTTGGCTGCCGAGCATCAGTTTGGTGATTTTTTTTTATTTAATTTTTTTTAAGCAATGGCACTGAAAGTGCAGGACGGTTCACACGCACTCGTACGACGGAGCTGAAGGGAACAACGTGCAGTTATTGTGTTGCAGTGAAGGTGGAACAATCGACTGCAGAGGATGAGCTAAAGAAGCCGGGCGGGTTTATGACGAGGGTGGCGGACAAGTCCTGTGGCCCTTCAGGAGAGCCGTTTATACGTTAAAATTTCTCATCGGGGATTACTGTGTTGAAGGGGTGATCCCAGAACGTGGTGGTGATTCCAAAACCTGCAGAGACAGAAAGACAAGTAACGATAAAGCATTTACAAAACGTGTTCATACAATGAAGCAGGCTCACCATTTATCAAGATTACGTGTTGCACTTTTATTCATTCACTCCTAGTTCTGCTTACTTTTTAACTAAACTATTTTCCTAAACAAAACTTTGTATTGACAGTACCCATAATGCTTGTGTTGGGAACAGTTAGGCTGGCTATGGTGGGATTGGAGAAGAAGTTTAGTGGAAATAGAAGCTTGTCTTAAAACCACAACAATTATATATAATTATTGAAAAACTGGTCCAAATACGTCCTTGTTTTAAATGTGTACTCCAGCAGAATACAGCATAATTGTGAGGTGGCTGCCACGATGAAGGCAGAAGTGGACAATGAAATAATGTGCATGGCCACAAATACAACATTACAAATCCTGCACACAGGAATTATCCAGCTTTTCAAAAACTGGCTGCTCAAATCATGGCTGCTTGGCTCTGAATTCAGTGAGAATACAGTAGTCCCTCACTACTTCACGGTTCGTTTATCACAGACTCACTCGATCGCAGTTTTTCAAAATAAGATTGACATGACACACAATTGGCTGATTTATGGATGAGCCGCAAGATCGGCATAGAATTTTTATTTAAAATTAATTTTAAATTATTTAGCACCTGCTGCACAACCACAGCTGCAGGATAAGCTTCCTGCAGCAGCTGATCAGCTGATCTCCGTGCAGAGCAGCAAAGCGAGCGTGGCCAAGATCGCTTGCAAGTGGCACAGAGTAGACGAGGCAGAGAGCTGAAATCATGACATTTCGTGCTCTTTTAGAGAGTTTAGAAACATTGTTTAGAATATTGCAAGACTGTGAGAAGGGCTTCAATGCCTTAATATACTAAAATAAACTACTACCTACTACTTGTACTACTCAATGTTTCCCCTACCGTTATACAAGCAGGGCGCCCCGCCCCCGTTAATAGAACCAAGCGCCCCATCTACCAAACCCCACCCGTTGGCACTGATGTAACGCTAAACTAGCAGCTCGCAATGCAGTTGTGCTAGCTAAAAAGCTAAAGGCAGCCTCTTCCCTCACGTTGAACGCACCCCCGCCACTCAAACTGTCGTTAAAAACAGCGCACGGCTCAGATGTGTGTCTCTCTTCTGTCACCCACCCCCCCTCTAAAATTGTTGGTTTAAACCGCGCACTGCGCAGCTCAGGACGTGTCTCCGTCCGTCTTCACCCCCCCGAACAAAAATCACGGACAAGATGAGCACCCCGCCATGGCAAGTTGCTACTATTCCTACTTTGCAGTTTTTCCACTTATCACGGGGCTTCAGGGTACGGATCCCCCGTGATAAACGAGGGGCTGCTGTACAAGTAAAAACATGAAAGTTTCTCACAATATTGTGTCAAGTTTGAGGCACCAACTGGCCTCGTAGCCCAGTGAGGTACAACATTTGAGTCTCTTATGAGAAGGACTCAGGGTCCAGGATGAGTCTACTCGTTCTGTCGATACAAATTCCTGGGAACGAATATCTGAGCGTCATTCATTGGCTCAATATTTTCCCCTCCATCATCTGCCTCTGAGGGAAAGTAGGCGCCAAAAGCTTCTCAAAGAAAATGGTTTCAGCCATGAATGGCTCTGACAGCAGGGCGAGTCCACAACCGTTAAACGACTAGCTTGAATACTAGACTGACCTGATCTCTGGTGCTCGAAGTGGTGTTTGACGTGGTACGCCTTCAGACCGTACAGATACGTCCCTCTCTTCGGTGAGCCGTAATGAAGGTAGTAGTGGATCATGTCGTACACAACATATCCACACAGCCCTCCGACAAACACGGAAACCCCGAGGATATGAGGAAGCACGCTGTGGAGGATGATATAAAACAGCCCCACCACTATGGAGGCCAGACCAGGAGGGAAGACGAGCCGAGAGCCGTCAAACGGAGACTGTGGAGAACAAAACAACGAGTTGATACGAAAATGATCAATTCATCTTCATCACCGAGCCAAATAAGAGTTATAAGACCACAGGTTTACACTTTGTTTACCGTGATAATTACAAAATACATAAAGTTTTACGTAACATTTCGCGTGTGAAACGTGAAAAGTTCATTATACAGAAAGACTGACAGGTTTACGAGTTACAGGCAAATTTTAAACACTTTTTATAAAATCATTAAATGATCCATTGAAATAACTCATTTTGACCATTTTGCCATTTAATTAACTTGTATTGTTTTGCAGTAAGATAAGACATGTTTTAGGTGAAAATATGTGGTTATACCACAAAAGATGGAATTTAGAATTTGGAATTTGGAATTTTGCCTTTGTGTAAATCTGGTTTTACGTATTCGTTTCATATTTTTAAAGGTCATCCAATTTATTTATTTATTTTTTCAATTGATACCAATTTTTTTTTATACATTTTTGACCCATTGCGTTTATAAATAAAATACAAAACGTAATAGCCTAACTTAAACATATTAACAAGTTTTAGAAAAACTTGTACACTTAAAATAATTTTTAAAAGCTTTCTCACTACAGTGAGCTGGATCAACAGGAAGGTTGGAAAGAAAACTGTTTTTTACCTCAATGAATAACTTGTCAATAATTGATTACAATATTGATCAAAAATAATCGTAGTTATTTTTTCCACAGTTGAGCAGCCTTACTGTAAAGGTTTCTTTCATTTGTCAAGTAAATCCTAAGTCTGGCCGAGTCACGATTTAAAGTCATTAGTCCATCTTGTAAGAAAGTAATACAATTTTTAAAATTATTTTATTAGAGCTTAATTTTTGTTTGTTTGATCTCATTCTCAGGTTGCTGCTTCAAGTCGTGTCTAAAACTTAAACTACTTTATTATAAAATAAAATCATCTTTTCAATTATTGCCC